TATCTATCTATCTATCTATCTATCTATCTATCTATCTATCTATCTATCTATCTCCTGGCTTTTAAAACTCAAGGGAGCCAACATACCTTTCTCCTGCTATTTTCCCAACAAACCTGTGAGGTGGATTGGACTGATTAATCCAAAGTCACCTAGCTGGTTTTTATGCCTAAAATGGAACTAAAACACATAGTCTCCTGCTTTCTAGCCTGGTGCATTAACCACCAGACCAAAGTGGCTATGTTAAATTATATTATAAAATAGTACTACTGTATAGGCAGCCAAATCTCTACACTGGACACTTATTGCTCAGAAAACTAAAAAGGTAGCTAAAGTCTCTGTCCCAAATTATGTTGTCTTATTTTTCTGCTGACTTGTAGAATGGAGGAATGTTCATTAACATGGTTTTGAGAAACAGTCCTGGGAACTGCTATATGTTTATACAAATAAAACCAAGTACAGAGAAAAATCTCCCTTGCATATTGTAAATTACAATTCTCAAACTAGGTAACATTAGTAATCCAACAATTCATCTCTGGGCTATATGCAATATATTCTCCACTATGAATACTAGGGATACTTCTGAATTCTTCTAAACTTTCTTTTTTGTTTTTGGAGGGTGAATACTAGTGGTGGTATTCTACTGGTGGTATTATGTTAGTAGCAGCAATGAGCAGTGGAGACAGAACTGGTTCTCTCCACCGCTCTGCTGTTGGGCCCGCCCACCTGCCCGGGCTCCCATACTCACCTTTATCCTTTGAATTTGAAGCGCAGCTACTTTGCGTGGCACAGAAGATTGTTGCGTAGCAGCTGCTGAAGCTACCGTGATCGTGCAGGCTTGCAGGAGGTGAGTTAGAACGCCTCTGCACCTGCGCAAATGCCTCTGCGCCTGCACAAAGTGCACGTTTGGAGTGCGCATGCACGCAACGTGTGTGCACGCATGCAAAGCGTGCCCATCAAGCCACGCCCACCGAACTGGTAGTAAAAATATTTGAATCCCACCAGTGATGAATACTGTGTGGCCCATAGTATATTCTATGTATTCTTGGCCTGTCAGGAATTAGTTCTGCAGAGATAAACTTCCTTGTACCTGGATTCTACCTGCTTCTGAAGAAATAGATCATGGGAGTAATATGGTAAAAGTGCCCAGGAAAACCTTGACTAGTTGTCATAAATTTAAAATGCTCATTTTTTTTTCCTTTCTTAAATTTGAAGTTGCCTTGGCTGCGATGAAACCAGTACTGTATCAATAAGAAGCAGCCCTTCCTGGTCCAGACTATTTGTAAAATAAGGCCCCTCTGCCCAATTTTCTACTTGTAGCGTCTTTAGAAACAATTTAAAGATTTGGGGCAAGTTTTTGGTCTTTTGATATTTAAGAAATGTGTTTTAAGTATAGGATTTAAAGTATAGGATTTGTTAATTTAGCAATAATCTTACGGCCACTATGATTGCACTATTGATTGCTTGATCCATTTATTGGATAAAAAAATAAGATAGAATCCAAAGAATCCAAGCTCAGTAAAAAAGATTACATTTAATGTCAGGCAGTTTGGTGCAGTGATCAAAGCTAGGAGATTGGTGAAGACTAGTTTACCCTTCTCCTTCATGGATGCCTTCATGCCTTCTCATGGCAAAGGGGCTTGCGTAGCTCAATGAAGCTATGAGCTATGCTGTGCAGGGCCACCCAAGACGGGCAGGTCATAGCAAATAGTTCTGATACCCTATTGAAAAGAAATGTTAAAGATTATAACTAACATTAATAATAGAGCTGAATTGGAATAGAATAAGTATTTTATTTATTATTGTTTTATATATATTCTCTTTAAGAACTTGGTATTTTAAGAATGTACCAAGCAGAATTCGACTGAAAGTTATGTGTTATAATGAATGTTATCATTGTAAAGGCGTAAATTGAAGTTTAAATAAGAGTTGAATGGATAAAAAATAAAAGATACAAAGGTGTCATACTCCAATTAGTAACTACAGGGAAAAAAATTTGTTTAATGAGAAAAGAAAATATGAAATTGAAACAGGATAGACAAAAGTATAAATATAATGACTAGAAAGATATTGAAACTTAGAAAAAGATATAATTGAATTTAAAAAGGAATGAGATAATTAAAAGTAAGATTGAGAAAATGAAGAGAAGGGAAAAGTTATTGAGAAAGTGTTAAAATAGTAATAAGATATGGAATAGAACGATGAATATGAAATTGAATTTGTATCTGTATGGAGAAGTGATAACCCGGGACCATGCTATTCTCAAAAAAAGAAATTGTATTATGTTTTGTGAAAACCCAAATAAATTTTTTATAAAAAAAAAGAAAAAGAAATGCAAGAAAGCAAAATGGCTGTCTGAGGAAGCTTTACAAGTAGCTGAGGAAAGAAGGGAAGCGAAAGGCAAGTGAGAAAGAGAAAGATACATGCAGTTGAATG